TTTTTTTTTTCTTTGATAAGATATCTCTAATATTCAGCTCGGTAGACGAAAATGAATATACTGTATAAAAAATAAATGGAGTGTCTACGCAAATATAGGTATCCGTTAAAATGTTCTCTGAAAGTGATAGAAATATGTGGAAGATATAAAAATAGGAGTCAATCATTGTCAATAAATTATAAGAAAATATGAATTTAGTTGTGCTGCTAGTTATGTAGGGCGTAGCCTTACATTTAGAAACAAGGATCAATCAGCATGTGCCTTTGAAAATAAGACATGACAAAATAAGTAACATGTGTTACCCTCCCTCTTCGAATATGGAATCTGCTATCGCTCAATATTTAATGAAAAATATAGCATGTGCCAAGTCTTATAAGAAAGATTGGTTAGGAGTTATTCATAGAGCTATTTCCAATAACCATTTAAAGAGTTTTGGAATAAGTCTCTATATCCCTGCGCAAAACTTCTCTCTGCCGGCAGAAGGATTTTTTCAAGTCTCTTAATTTGTTGGGGGATATTTTATTTTAATCGTTCCTCGCTAAATGTATTTGCAAGATATTTCCCCTTCCCTCGATATATATATATATATATATATATATATATATATATATATATATATATATATATATTATCGTGTTTCCTCCCAACCTTTTTTTTTTCCTCTTCATTTTCGTTGTTGCTGTTCTTTGGTATAATTTATTGCCCACGATTTACTCCTGATGAGAGGATGGGTGAAAGGTTATTAGAGACTAGTATTTTCTTTGAGGTAAAAACAATATATATATATATAGAGAGAGAGAGAGAGAAAGAGAGAGAGAGAGTTTATCTGACGATCGCAAGGGCGTGAAACGCAGAGTCACAATCTCACATCAAACCAACTACATACGTTACCTCTATCATTGATATTGATCGCTTTCCAATACTTACCACAAACACACACATATTATATATAATATATATATATATATATAAATTACATACTGTATATACGTACATATATATACATATTATATACATATACGTACATACACATATATACATACATATTATATACATATTATACATATACATAAATATTATATATATACCTATATACATACATATTATATATATACCTATATACATACATATTATATATATACATATATATATATATATATATATATACATACATATTATATATATACATATATATATATATATATACACTTTATATATATATATATATATATATATATATATTAAAATTCCGATTAAATAAAGTATAGCTGGAAATAGACTGTATGAATAAAGACAAAAGGGTTTTTTTTTAGCGACGCGTTTCATTTCCTAATGGACTTTAGGGTGGGAAAACAAAGATTATATTTTGCAACATCTTTTTTTAAAAAGAAGTAAGAATATTGTTAAGTTTTTAAATTATTTAAATTCAAGAACTCTGTAAAATTTTCTTGAAAACTGTGTAAGTCAATGCAAACTATGACCAATCTTAAGTACGTGGATGCTTTATGAATTAAAGTAAATAAATATTGTTGTCGAATTTCATTTTTCCATTTTTTTAGACTTATGATTTTTTAATTTGTTTATTTTTTTTTTACGAAATTATAACTTACTGTCTTATTTAAACTTGAGTTAACCGTATTCCTTTAATTTAAAAAAAATATGACCATGTGTGCTGTTTTGGGGAAGGATATGTATGTTTAAATTTTGTTGTATTTATAAGGCATGTCTGCTCAATAAACGGGACATAGCTTTTGTTGATATAAGCAGTAGGGACATAGAAATGAACACTGCATTCTGACAGTTTCAGGCCTTATGCGATCATCAGACGATATAGATTAACGACCAAATTTTACCATATTATTGTCGATGTTTTGAATTTTGCCTTTTCCTAGACAAGTTGCTACACAAGACAACGGAACCTACTCTTCCCTAATATTTAACGCGTGACTGATGAAAGAAAGATCCGTGTATTTAAAAAAAAAATCTAGAAATATGGTTCAGAATATCAGAAGTATGGTATGTTAACACTTCCGTTTCTGTAAACGTAACTATACGCATTTATAAATCTTACATTGCATGCTGTTGACGTATATATACGTTATCGAGACACCATGAAATATCGATCCCTAACGTATTCGGCGATAATACGAAGTGGGCGATAGAGCCTTAGTCTAAATCTGAACTCGGCACGTCGATACCATTTTTCGCGCCGAGGGGGGTTACACTGTCAACACATAGAAAGATTTATATACAGCAAACCCCAAACTACTGCCAGACAAGATGAACGGATATCTCCTCGAGGAGGCTCCGTGCCTTCACAGAACACTGGGCCTCAAACTCACACCCGATCTGGAGTGGAATTCTTATATACGATCGATCGCCAAAGATGCACGTATAATGATAGGTACTTACTGGAGCGGTTCAGGGAGTCTGATACCCCGTGCTATACTCTACCTTTATAAGAGCCAGATCAGACCGAAAATGAAGAACTGTTGTTATATCTGGGCGGAAGCTAATCATTCTTGACTTTTCAGTCTTGATAGAGTTCAAAAGCTTCTCAGTGTCCTTGTTGGAGAAGAATTATTTTCCACTCTTCAACCTCTCTCTCTCTCTCACAGGCGGGATATGGCGAGTCTCTCACTGCTCTATCACTACTACCATGGAAAGTGCTCCGTTGAACCACACTCCTTAGTTGCACGAGGTCTAATCTTTGTGGCATGCCACTTACATAGTCACAAGCTAGTCACATTACCTATATATTTCATCGTCGAGAATTAAAACGAAAAACTGACCTATGGAGCAGGCTCCAAAGAGGATGTGTCTCCAACCACTACAACCTTAACCTCTTCAAATCTAGAATTAACCGTTATCTTCCCTTCCTATCCATATACACTACCACTTAACGTAACCCTCTACCTGGCCCGGGCCTTTTACAGGGTGATGTTTACTGTCAAAAAATAATACTGTATAGATTTATTCATACATTTAGTCGAGCTTCTATCTCTTGTCACTGTGTATTTATTATTATTTAACTGTCTACCTTAGACTACTCACATCTATATCTATCTAGCGTGTTAAGATCTAAGTAAGCGTTGGATGTTGTGGCTATGTCAGCTGATATATCCATTGTTAAGCTGTTAAGTGCCATGTGATGGACGTGGAAACTGGACCGAACTAACAGGTCATAAATGTCAGGAGGAAATATAACAATAATAAAACGAATGGCAAACAAGAAGGCTAAAGCGCTTAAATAAAGTGAAAATAAGCGACCTGAACAAATAAGAGAAATAAAATTAGCTTGATGGGGTCATATTTTCTTTTAGCTTCTATGTCTCTTCAGTACGTGGACGATCATGGTTTTACGCATGGCTATCCTTTGTAGCTCTTAGCCATGTCTGTCTTTTTTACTATCTTTCTCACCTTCTGTTCTACCAATCCATTTACACAAGAATGCTTCCCTCTGTCTATCTTGTCTTCAATAGGCTTAGGTTGGTTTGTTATTTTTGTTAAGCAGCATATCAATTTCTATGGGTTATACAATGCCGAAATCTAAATATTTTTACGCAATTTTATTTTTTGTGGGGATAATAATGATTCTTGTGATACAAGTTTTACTAATTCATCCAGAGCTGGGGTGAGGGAAAGAGATGGGTCCATACTTTTCACAAGGGAATTTACGCGTAAGTGAATATGATTCCATCTCGAACACGTCTCTCCGATTAACAATTCCATTAGGAATTACACCACCCGCACATCGAAACTTACACCACCTTATATTCGCAAGCGGCCACCTTAATAGTAGTTACCAACCTCGACGTTGCTTAAATAAACAAAAGTTAACTATTAATTTCCGATGTGAACCATGTTCAATCGTTAAAAACCACATCTATTATAATGTATTATAATCGTCAGAAATAGCTGAATAGAAATAAAGGTGTTTTAACTGAATTTTCATGTAAAATGGCTTAATGGCAGATGACATTGTGTCGATAGCAGAATCAGGAAGTAAGCTGCAATAAATCCTACGTCGTAAAGGGAAGCGGAAAGAAAGAACTAACTATGAACTGCAAGAAGACAGACGTTATGGCCGTCAGAAACAATGACATTCCTCGGTCTGAGACGTCAGAAGCAAGCAGGTTCAGGGATTTAACTATCTTGCTAATGTCACAATCGATAACAGGTAACGTGACAAGGGAATCCTAAGGCGCACTGAAATAATGAGTTGTTTCCCAGATATTAAACCACGTATTAAGAGATAAAAATACTTAATTAAAAACAAAAAAAAAACACTACTGAAATGCTAGGTAATATCAATATTCCTATACTGAAGTGGATGCAGAACAATTTTCTAAAAGATAAAGAGAAAAGGATATGGTTCTACAGTAGGATACTGAGAATGTTATAGGTAGAGCATGTGAACAGTGAAAAGTTTGAAAGAAAATGAGAAAAGAAGATGTCACCGAAAAAAATCGAACAACAAGACATTTTTAGAAAATTATAATGTTTACTCGTTTGGTAAAATTTGGGTAAATAATTCGGGTTGAAAAGGTTTCAGTGCGCCCTCGTTAATAGTGAGAAAAACTGAAAGAAGCGAGAACGAGATAATCTAATTTTCTGAAAAAGCAGTATATATATATATATATATATATATATATATATATATATATATATGTGTGTGTGTGTGTATGGTAATTATAGTCTGTGATTCTGGTATTTAGATAGCAAAAACGTTAGGCCCGTTTGATCTAATAAAGCTCCTCGTAGTGATCTGTCATAGGACATTAAAAGGAAAACTAACGTGTTTTTCTTGTGTCCAAATCATGCTGTGAAGTATTTCTGCAGTATGTTATGCTTGCAGAGATTGTAATCTGCGCCATATTAAAGGCGAACCCATTTGACGCGGACGAACGACTTTAATTCATCTCCCAGGACAACTAAAAAATAAGATAAAAAGTTGTAATCATAAAATTTAAACCGGCTTCGACATTTTTCTATTTCACCATTGTAATTTTATGAGAGAGAGAGAGAGAGAGAGAGAGAGAGAGAGAGAGAGAGAGAGAGAGAAACAAATTTCATATTGCATATACACCGAATCAACCCTAGCTATTTTTTCCGTTAATAAAACACTAAAGTAAACACTTCACTTAAAGCAGCAGAGAACAAGAAGCTTAGAATCTGACCTTTATGTCACAGAAAAAAAGGTCCTTTCTATTCATTGTAAACGCCTTTTCAGAAGAATCTACGATCGCTGTTACCATACAACGATCATAGCAATCAAAGGGTTAAATTGAAAAATGTCATTGAATAAAGAAAAAAAACTTAAAAACAGGGAGAGGCTATCATCGCAAGTGTGGAGACTACATCCACAATAATACGTCTGGCAATGCGAACTTTTTGGGGTGTTAGTGCTAAGCCTCGAACTGTGGCGAATATCCAGGAAAAGAAACTAAGAGAAAGAAGTCTTTGCAGACATCGTGCGTCTGCGGACTTAGTTTAGGAGAAAACGCATACAAAAATCTTGCCAATAGCATTTCATGAAGAATAGTTCCTTTTACGTCCGCGGCTAGATTCTTTAGATAGTATTAATAAATCACTTAATGTTGCTGACTCAATTCTTCTGAAACCTGATGCCACTAAGTGCTAAAGGGAATATTTTGGTTTGGTGCTGTAAACTCGTAAAAGAAACGAGGATTTAGTCTTTGAATTTGGAGATTATATGCCAGTGTCGCGCGACCCTTAGATGGATAGTGATTGGCACTTTACCTAGTCATTATGCTTCCTCGTTTTATTCTGTACTTGATAAAGCCCGTTTTCCAATTGATTATTCTAAATTTCAATTTAAAGAGCTTGGTTAATAGAGTACTGATGAAAGAATGTAAAAAATAAGGAAGATGGATAATAAAGAATATGAAAAATATGGCGGATACTTAAAACAGAAGACATGATATGAATAGAAAAAAGAGCAAATAAGAATGACGGAAACAAGAAACTAAAAGGAAGGGAAAAAATAAATATACAACATAACGAAAAGAAAGAGTAATTGAATAGATTGAGAATCTTATCACGCAAATAGAGACTTTAAAGTACATCTAAATTAATTTTCGATCGACCTTTTCTTCCAACTATCAAATATACATGTACATTTCTTTCATACCTATCTGTTTTTTTGATCCAACTATTACTTCTGCCTATAACATATATTCGATTTTTGTTTATTTTTATCAGGTCACCTCGACGTGCGGTAATGGTTAACAAGGCGAATCAGGTTGACTATTAAAATAGTCATTTTGATCTTCACTGGGTGACTTATAAAGACAACAACATTACCAAAAAATGTTGATATATAGAAATTAACCAGAACGTGGTTTGTGTTGTTAATCTTGATGGCCATTCATACTGAGTAGTGAGTTCGATCCTCAATTGGTGTACCAATCCGACATTAAATAACCCAATAAGGATTGATATATAAAAATGAATCAACCATGGTTAGCGAGATCAGTCTTATTAACCATTAACGCTGACTACGGAGTTCGATCCTCACTTGGTTTACCTTAGAAAATTTAACATTAAATAAATCAGCCAGAGTTGATATTTTATAAAATTAACCAATCAACCATTGTTACATTCCGAGTTGGTTTTCCTTCGTTTTTCTCTGTAAATATCAATTTATAAATACCTTCTCTATCAACCTCAGACTTGTGTGTGTGTGGATCTCCTCGTCTAACAAAATTTATGGGGTCCGGCTCTACCACCGATCATAACTATCACATACATCTCAATATTTGACCATAAAATTAAACATAAACTGACTCGCTTCCTTCTAGGACCACTCATGTCATCCCTCTTTCAGTTCCTGTCTTTATTTCCTTTCTATTCAGATTTATCAAGATAGTAACAAATAAATTGGCACGAAGAATGCCGACCCGAACCATTCCATAAGTACCTCATAAAGATATGGACAAAGCGACCATCAAATTGAGTGTAAGGAATTGGTCATCTTGAGAATAAATCGAAAAAAATTGACCTCACTCTCTCGAATGTTCCACGATGATAAGTTCTGTGACATATATTGCTACACTCGCGATCTACATACATTTTATGTATATCTCTGACGTCGACAGAACTTTTTTTGGATTAGTGTATGCTGAACACTATGAAAACAGAAAACATAAAAACACATAAAAACAGAAAATAATATTGATGAAACATGACTGAATTTTATATCTGAAAACATTTTACCATATTAAGACATCTATTACGTCTATATGCTGTGATCTTTCAAGATGCAGGCGATGATGGCTCTCCACAACGCCCTATCCCGTGTAGCTCTTATTAATGTTTCTATTTTTGCCAATATTCCCACTCTCTATTCTACCATTCATTCACGTAAGCTTGTTATGTATCGAGGTGGTACGCTGCAACCTACGTCTTTTTGCTTTTATTATGTACTTTGAGTGTCAAATTTTCCAAATTCTCCTTCCTCTTAATGTGTCCCAGAAAGTTATCTCTTTCTGATTCTGAGAATAAGTGTTCTTTTAATTTCTTTTTACCCTAAGTCTTCTTTGTTGCTTAAACGCTCTGCTCAGGGTATTCTTAGCATCCATTTATTGAACCACGTTTCTGTTGCCGCATGTCTTCTCTTCATGTCTCGTGTTCAGCATTCGCTACCTTATAGTACGAATGATGCCGTTCAGCATTCTTCTCTTTGTTTCTAACGAAACTTTCATATTTCTTAATACTTTGTTTAGATTTGGGAAGACATTTCTTACTATTCCAATGTGCTTTAAGATTTCGGTATCATATTTTACATCTGTCAACATAAACTTCCTAGATTTATCAGTTCAAATGAGTAAGTGAAATTGTTTTTATCTTATACATAAAAATTTCCTTTCTGACCGCCTGTAAGTGAATTCCAAGAACGGGATTTCTTTCTAATTGTTACATATTTACTTCAAGATTGGCTGAAACATTTCGTTTTTGGTTGTAGTAGTATCGGATTGAACGAGTTGATGTTAGACTCTGCCTACCCGAAGCAACAGATTTATGCCTGACTAAGGTAATTCTAGCTAAAATGTTTTTTCTCATTTCAGTAGTTTTTTACTGGATTAAGCCAAGACGAACCAGTATCATTCATTTTATTTGCAATCTTCTGCCGACCTTAGCTAAGCCAATTTAATATCCCAGTTCTTTTTTATTTGCATTTCTATCAAGATACAATATCCGTGGAAACAAGCGTTTGTGTCAAAATAATGGGTATATATATATATATATATATATATATATATATATATATATATATATATATATATATATATAAAGCAATTCCATTCCTGTTCAACATAAAAAATTTATTTTTTAAAATTTTCAAGGCAGGATGCTACTAGCACGCAAGGGATTACAGAGAGTGAGAGAGAGAGTAAAGAGGCGTGATAGAGGAAAGGATGAAGAGAAGGACAGGGAATAGATCAGCGACATCTGGAGATGTCGATTGACATTATAATTGAATAATTGGAGAGTATAGCTATCAGGGAAACAAGTAATAGGAAGGGAATTCCACAGACGGGTGGTGCGAGACATGAAGCTATTGGAGTAGAAGAGACGGCCACATTTAACAGTTTCGACCGTGAAAGGGTGGGACTGCACGTCGAAGCAGTTACAGTGAAAGTATTTGTAGAAAAGACAGAGGGAGGCGACGGCACGTCAGTGAGAGAGCGACTGTAGACGAGATGCCAGATCAACATCAATCACATTGCCTATCCGTCTCTGGATTTTGTTGATGACCAAGAGTTTCTTGTTTTGCTTGCTTTTAATCCACCGTGGATTTTCCCACTAATTGCAAGTGGATATTTGAAATTTTGTAAACCCTAAATTCTATTCACTACAATTATGGAGCTGTATAAATCTTATTTGTACTTAAGAGGAAGATTAAAAGAAAACTTTCATATTTCTAATTAAAAAAAATCGGAGTTTAGGTCTAGACACACTGGTTTGCCATGAAACGTCAAAATTCATGAAAACGGCTTAAAAGTTGCATTTCGACTTCTTTCAATGCGATTTTCATTGACTAAAATCGATTCAACAAGCAACCGCCCAAAATAGGATCAAGTTATGTCGCAACTGATATTTGGTGACTGGCATATGATCCCAAAACAAGGTAACGAACACTTTAACATATGAAAGGAACGGAGTACATTTAAAATATTACCCCACCAAAAAAAAAAAAAAAATTATACATATTGCAGATTTAAATGATTCTAATATTTGGGAACTTCCACTCAAAACGAGTACGAAATTATTCTGGATAATTTTTGCAACCGTTATTCAAAATGTGGGATGGATAAAAAAAAAAACAACAAAAAAAAACAGCAAAATATGACACAGAAATGTGTTTATTTGATAGATTGCTTTGGTTTATTTTGTTTTACAGCATATCAACATCTCAATGTGTTATTTAATGCCGACAAGATTTTAGGATAGTTTCGTATGAATAGAATATGTTTGTAGATTCTATTTGTAAATCAGGTTTCGTTGACGTGTTTTTGTAAACAGGAATATATTTTTTGGTAATACATATTTTTTTCAAAAATGTATCGGGGGAAACACTTTTCTTCCCCTTCAAAAATGTAATGCTGGTATTTTTACTATAAAATCTAATTTTATACTCTCATAGTGATTGACAACAGTTTGATGTTTAACTATTTGCCCATAGCTGTGACCCAAACAGGTGCTACCACCTCGGGTCAAGGTGGACCTGGGAACAACAGCAATTAAGGTGGTTTCACGCTCTTCAAAACCTCCCGATCAGAGGCCATGCTGCCGGATGTAGTTTATCGTCTTTAATTGATTTTTTTGTTTTAGGGCCCCTACATCAACTCCTGTGCTTCTCTTGGAAGAAAAGACGCATAACAGGAAACTATCGACAACTGATCAATTAAAGTATGAGGGATTAAACGTAGGTATTTTGTTAAATTCAGGCTGACAAACAGAGTTAGAATTTCAGAACTGGTTCACAGATCCTAAGACTGCCGATTTTCAGATTAGATATAGCTTTTTTAAAACTTAGGAAATATATAACCGATGTCA